ATGGGGTTCGGGATGGATGATGAACTATGAGAGGTGGGCTGATTGATGAAGGGGTTCCGGGTGGATGATGAACTATGAGATGGATGATGGGGTACCGGGTGGATGATGAACTATGAGAGGTTGGCTGATGGATGATGGGGTTCCGGGTGAATGATGAACTATGAGAGGTGGGCTGATGGATGAAGGGGTTCCGGGTGGATGATGAACTATGAGAGGTGGGCTGATGGATGAAGGGGTTCCGGGTGGATGATGAACTATGAAAGGTGGGCTGATGGATGATGGGGTTCCGAGTGGATGATGAACTATTAGAGGCGTGGACTGATGGATGAAGGGGTTCCGAGTGGATGATGAACTATGAGAGGCGTGGACTGATGGATGAAGGTGTTCCGGGTGGATGATGAACTATGAGAGGGGTTGACTGATGGATGAAGGGGTTCCGGCTGGATGATGAACTATGAGAGGGGTGGACTGATGGATAAAGTGGTTCGGGTGGATGATGAACTGTGAGAGGTGAGCTGATGGATGAATGGGTTCTTTGTGGATCGTGAACTATGAGAGGTGGGCTGATGGATGAAGGTGGTTCGGGTGGATGATGAACTGTGAAAGGTGAGCTGATGGATGAATGGGTTCCTTGTGGATCGTGAACTATGAGAAGTGGGCTGATGGATGAAGGGGTTCGGAGTGGTTGATGAACTATGAGAGGTCCATTTCCATTGAAGACAATATTAGCATCTTGGTAAATGGTTGCATTTCTCTACCGCAAGGCCAGTATAGAAAGAACCGTATGAGGAACAGTTGTGTTGTGTCAAATTGTAATTGTGCAAGACTCTATTCTATGTTTGGGAGAGTTGGTCGGGTGCTCCGTCTAGAATGTAACACGTTTTACAGAATGTCGCGTAGAATGACGTGTTTATAATACTCTGTTTGGAAGTTTTTCTTTCGTGGGCTTTTTCTCTCGTGGGATGATAGATGGTGAGGGAAGTTGTGTGTGTATGTCGGAGGTTGGGGGGTTGGTTCGGGGTAGTGAACAACAATGATGGGGGTCGGGATGGGAGACTAACAAGTATACATGAAGGATAATCGGGTGGATATACGATGAGATTGATCCGCATACGACTGTCGGGTTGATGCCTGAAGCAAGGGTTTTAGGGTCTGTGCAAGGAACAACGGGGTGGATAAACTATGAGGGATCGAGTTGGGGATAAACTATCTGGAGTTGGGGGTAGGGGGAGTTGGGGGGAGGTCAGCTGGTTATCTCGGGAAAAGACAAGGAGGTAGTATCTACCCTTGCGGCAGGCTAGAATATTTCAACACCGGTGATGGAACACCGAGATACGCATCTCGCCTCAACCTGAACCTACACGTGTGTTGACAGGATATTTGTTTGTAGGTCGTTCTCAAGCAAGCTTAACTACCAACTGAATCATTGCCAAATGCTGGTTACTTCAGTTCACATTTGTTTTGTAAACGATTAAACAGTTACAGCGAAATTTACACTCGACAGTAAATATTTTACGATTACATCGATACATAATAAACTATCACGACGCATACACATTCTGGTTACTTTAGTTCACATTTGTTCTATGAACGATTAATTAGTTACAGAAATTTACACTCAACAGTAAATATTTTACGATTTCATCGATACATAATAATCTATCACGATGTATACAAATTTTGGTTACTTTAATTCATTTTTGTTCTATGAACGATTAAACAGTTACAGCGAAATTTCCACTCAACAGTAAATATTTTATGATCACATTGATACGTAATATAAACTATCACGACGTATCACGACATTAAAAAGAAAATGTATCCAATATGTTGGTATACTCTACAACCACAGCTACATGTAGGTTGTGATGTACAAACACACCGACTAGTTACTTGGGCCTGTAGGTTGTAGGAGGGAGGATCTATTTCTTGACTCGCTGGCGACGAGGATCTTCTTCATTTTGCTCCAATCAATAACAACACTGTTTCAAAATGTACAAAGATATTAGCCCACCTTACTGGGGTGAAGGGGGTCAGGAGGGTAAGCCGCTGCCAGGGCAACACGGGGGAGTAGGAAATGTTCGGTGGGTCACTAAACCCTCCATCGTGATGGCGTGATAGTGGTCATATCTACATCATTTCACGTGAATGGTTTTTATATGTTGTTTTTTTATATTTCATTTCAGCTTTCGAATAAAAATGTTTTGTTACTAGTCTCTGAAGCTAACGTATACCAGATTTTTACAAGATTATTATAGACAGTTCTAAAGCACTAATATAGCGGATCTAATCATGATTAAATCTTTGCATGGTTATTTTTTTCATCTTGAAAAGAGTTATGATTAAATTCATGATTAAAATAATAAAATATTATATGATGTTATATAATATTTGTACCAAACTATTTTGTCGTGTTGCAATTAATGGAGATTCTACACATTGAGCGAAATGACATGCATACATTTTTTTCCAAACCCAAACATATATTAGAACGATTGAAACTATCTCTAAACGTGATATTATAATTGTACTTTAATGACTAATTGTATACTGGATATTAAGTCCATATGTATATAATTTTATTAATTGCATGTAAATAATCACTATCTACCTTGTAAAATCTGAAATACATATTTCTGTAGATATGTTTGCCAGAACCTCTCGTCCATCTCAAACATTATTATGCATGTATTAGAGAGCTTTACCACTTACCTATGGCCCGCGCTATATTTTAATCAGTAATAAAAGTATATAAATTGTTATTTTAAATCTCATATAATACGGCATCATTTTCCTTCGTTTCACTTTCTCTTTAATGTAAGTCAAAGTAATCCACATTTTTGTTGCACCCGTCATTTTGTAGATTTCGGATTATTAAGATTAACTGGAGCAAAAGTTTAAAAGCATATTATTTATCTTTATGAAGTGATCTTTTGTACGGATGGTACCACTCCCACTTAGATATATCTTTATCTGTTTACTTAAATCCTTTTCTACCTTAACAGGCGTCCAAAGCCAAATTAATTTCGTGCTCTTCACGACAGCGTGGAGGAATCGCCGTAGCATTGCAAGGTAGTTGTTCTGCCCGCGTGTTCCTGTGGAACGTTGATGGTTTGACGTGAAGGACGGATACGGAAAAGTGTGAAAACTGCATCATTAAAAGCGCGTTAATTCAAAACCACATTTCCCTCTGTCATTTTAATATATTGGGCCAAGCGAATTGGATTTGTTTGGATGTATCATCTTCGTGTAATGTTTCACGTTTTAAAATCATTTTTATGCTTCATTGTGCAACTCAGCCTGAGAGCTTCTCCCAAGGACTATATTTACATATGTCATATTCGCTAATGTACATATTATGTTTAACATTTATGAAACCCGTGCTTATCAGTATTAAACGCTTATTAAATAAAAAAAAACACAGTTGCATAATTAGATTGTCATTTTTTATTCTCAGTTTGAATAAATCTATTCATAAATGCATAAACACATGAATAGAAACACTTTTAAATATTATCTCAAATACTGAGATGGACCATTTTTTACGTGATCTTTATTTTTAGATAATGGCCTGCTGACAGAAAAAATAAACATGTCAGTTAATGCCACTTGATCCTGAAGAAAAAATGCTCTCTGATCTCGGGATTAAGAAATGTAAAATGATAAGCGAAAAATTTAGGAGACAAGCTCAGACAAGACGAAATACGTATAGTTTTCAAATGAGGACAAATTAATATTAAAATTATTTCCTTACACAAATTAAGAAATTTCATAACGAAAATAAGGTCTAAAATGTCAAAACAGTTTAACCTTCAGCTCAAAATAGAATAGAAAAATGTGTCACATAATTGATATAATTCTTTTTTAGCCAAAAATGTTTTAATAAATTAACACATGCATATATAGAAACGTTTGACTGAACATCAGATTTCCTTTGTAACTTGGATCCTTTGCATTTCAAAGTGGGTTGCCTTGTACTTAAAGGGTTGCATCGTCACGACGAAAATCCACGATTTCCCACGTGTGCAATGTGTTAAGATTCATTACTTTCACTTACTGTCCACATAAAGTAACTCTTATTTAAGGGGGGGGGGGGGGGGGGGGGGGTAGAGCAGGAAAGTCATCCTATTCGAATCCAGGGCATACGGTGTTCAAAACAGAGACATATTGTGTTTTGGAGTTTGTTCAGTGTCCAGTGTACTAACAAGGCTTTAGTTCTGTGAAAATATTTTCCTTCCATGCACGTTTCATTGTGTTAATGATTCATATTGTGTGTTAATATTTCTGACTGTGTGTTAATGTTTTGTCGTGTGTGTCAATGTTTCATATTATGTGTTAATATTTCTTACTGTGTGTTAATGTTTTGTCGTATGTGTCAATGTTTCATATTGTGTGTTAATATTTCTTACTGTGCGTTAATATTTCAAAGTGTGTGTCAATGTTTCATATTGTGCGTTAATATTTCTGACTGTGTGTTAATGTTTTGTCGTGTGTGTCAATGTTTCATATTATGTGTTAATATTTCTTACTGTGTGTTAATGTTTTGTCGTGTGTGTCAATGTTTCATATTATGTGTTAATGTTTAATTGTGTGTGTTTTAATGTTTTATACTGTGTTCATGTTTCATTGTGAGGCAATGTTTTTATTGAATGTGTAAGTGTTTCATTGTATGTTAATATTTCATTGAGTGTGTAAGTGCTTTATTTTATGTTCATGTTTTATCATGTGTAAATATTTCATTGTGTCTGTTAATGTTTTATGTTGTGTGTTAATGTTTCATTGTGTGTCTGTGTGTGTGTGTGTATTACGTGTTCGTAAAGTGTGTTATGGTTTCATTGTGTTTATTACGGTTTCAAAGTGTGTGTGTTAAGGTTTCATATTGGGTGGTAATGTTTCATTGTCTGTGTGTTACGTTTTTGTACAGTGTGTTATGGTTTCATGGTGTGTATTACGGCTTCATAGTGTGTGTTAAGGTTTCATATTGTGTGGTAATGTTTCAGGTTAGAGGAAAACTACTGTATGTGTGAGGGCGTGTGTCTGCCGCGGTGCATCCTTTATGCTCACTATCTGGACTTCTGCCGGAAGGAGAACCTTGAGCCGGCGTGCGCGGCTACATTCGGAAAGGTAACTTTATTCTTCCACTCATTCAAAGGCATAGATTTCTATCTACACTTTCATTTCAGAGCATAGTCAATACGTCCCATGTACGACCAATGTCATTAGAATCCGAGTAAATAAGGATATCACAGCAGTGACCTTGATGTACAGTGAAACCTCGTTTATCCAGACTGTAAAGGTCGCGGTGAAATCGTGCAGATTATTTATTTCCGGATTAACAAATCATGTATACGGATTAATGTCGATTTGTGTGAAGTTCCACGATTGCCCGGAAACCGAGATTTCTGGACAAACGGCGCCCGACTGGATAGTTGCCTCTTTATGTGTGAGCATTATTGTATTCTTTATGTCGTCAAATGTGTTGTTCATTTGGATTTCCTACCAAGCTCACATTCACGTGTAGCTTATATCCCAGTCTTTCAGTATCATCGGGGAAATACAGACAATTCAACTGGAAATGAACCCATAAAGACCATTAAAGTTATGTTCGCTGTGATCAACATTCGCATCTCAAATCACCTTGAAATTCATACTTCCAATCAAACACTTAATCCTCAAGTTACATTTGATGAAAATATAAAACGTCAATGTCAGAACACAATCAGTCTCGATTTTCTGCCAAAACAATTTTTTTAGGCAAAATTGCGGTGTAAATTGTATGAATGTTTCACTAAAATCAGTGGTGACACCAGGTGTTCACGAAAGAGTGAGCATGTTCTGGCTTACCGGTAGACACTGCCAAGCACACGATTAGCATAAAAAAGTACAGGTAAGTGTTTAAAAAATCCACGCGAGTTTGGCTATAGTCATGGCAACCGCGCCCTTTGTTCAGATTTTACGCAAACGCTTAAGTAGTAAAACGTTCACTATAAACCTGTTCACGTTGCTGCAAACACTGTTTGATAACGGTATCGCAAATACCTCGTCCCAACTCCTAAGTAAGGGAGATGATCTTGTGTTTTCCCCTGAGTAAATAAATCTGGCTAAATAAGGTAATTGGTTTGTGTTTAAAAGGGGAATGTCGTCTCTGAAGAGATTTTTCGCTCAAAAAATCCTTACGGTTTCAATTCTCCTTTCGTACTTCGCGAACTAGCTTTTAAATACTGAGCGTAATTGTATAGTCCTTGTGTTTCTGATTGAAAAACAATTGATGACAACTTCATGGGAGCCGTCCTGACTAGGAATCCCAGTTGCTGTTAGTACTGGTTAGACGCAGACAAGAACAGGAGTCGTTTGTTTACTAAATTCGCCGAATTGTTTGGAAAGTTGAAGGAAATATGTAGTTTAGTTTTGCGTTAAGACGTATTTAGACATAGCTAGACGAATTTACACGTTGACATTGGAGTAATTAATTACCCAGGAAACACCTCACCACGAAACCAAGCCAGATGGGGGAAACAGGCATTGGTTATTTATTAGAAACATTTTGAGTTGTATGTAATCACTCTTATGTTGACACTGTAATATAATCATTGATCATTTTCTTAATTATAAAACATAAATACTCGCTATTACTAGTGACCTCATCGTGTGTGTTACACATTTATAAGCTGAACCAAGCCATTAAACATGGCTCAACCAGGAAGACATTGTATACAGTACTTTCATATGATTTGAGGGGGCGGTGGTTTATTTAGTTTTAAAGTTAAACTCGCAAAAAATAATCATCCCTCAGAAATAAATTTAACATGCTACATGTGCTGAAAAAATGTTTTGTGAACTTAAAATGAAATTTTTCATGAAGATTCTGTGTGTTTTGAAGAAGTGACGGCAAATTGATCCTGTCTCTCAGAAAGGTCCCCCACCCCAACCGTCCTCCGAAAATTAAATCGTAGGTCACTTAGCATACACAGTGTTAAACAGTTTTGTGTTATGGAGGTATTATCTACAAATACGTAGCCATTGATGGTCTGGATTTTAATCAAAGTAGTGTCAATTCTGTTAAACATCAATATGCATAGTTGGACTTTATCACCTTTGTGTGTCAAGCAGTTCAGACTTCTGTAAAATACATTCATTAAACTTCTTCTTTGCAGACAATACGACAAAAGTTTCCCCACTTGACAACAAGACGTCTCGGAACAAGAGGTCACTCTAAGTAAGTTTTGAAACAATTGTGTACAACGATGAGGAGGTACATGTGTTTACCTTCTCTGATAGGTTTGACTACAGAGATGGGGGAGAATTAATACTGTAAAACTCACGAATGATTCCGGGTTTGAATCCCAGCTGTCACACGCATGTCGTAGGAGGCTTAAAGAGGATCATGTGACCACACTGGCTTCACATTGCATTTGATTTCGTGGATTGTTTCGCATACCCTTGTTTCACACACCCGTGTTTCTGGACCACGATCGACATTTGGCCGCCTTGGTAAAGGTGTTACCTGGTTGAAATTCGACATGGAACACCCTTCCACGATACATGATAAATATTCTTTAACATACACCTAAAACATTTCACAACTTGTATGACAGAAGGAATAGTCAGAAGGTGTGGCGTTATACAAACCAATGCTGTGGTGAATATTGAATGAACTCTCCAAGTGTTCTGATGGAACTGGACCTGTGGAGATCCGGGGTAGAATGGATCTTCAGCAACCCATGTTTGCCGTAAAAGGCGACTATGATTGTCATAAGAGGCGACTAACGGGATCGGGTGGTCAGGCTTGCTGACTTGGTTGAAGCATGTCATCGATCCAAATTGCGTGGATCGATGCTCATGATATCAATCACTTGATTGTCAGGTCCAGACTCGATTATTTACAGAGCGCAGTTATACAGCTGGAATATTGCTGAGTGCGGCATATAACAACAAACCAACCAAACCGATCTGATGGAATTGAGTACAGTTTATCCCCGATTCGCACCAGGTCGCACGATACCTTTGTGTTTTGCCAAATGGTAAAAGCCAATTTGGCTTTTGTTACTTCCCATCGCAAGCATGCTTTTGTATGACTGCAGTAAACACTTGAAAACTAGATTTGACCAAAACATAACAAGCGTTATTAAAACGAAATTGGGCTGAAAACAGTCACCGAAACACTGCAAACTAAGGATCCAAAACACAACTTTGATACCCGTATCAAATACATCACCATCGAATAACAATTTCTTGTTTGTTTCATTTAAGCCACCATCAAACATATACTTTCTTTTGCCATGCATTCTTTTTTAAAACGGCGTTAGAGCATCTTCACTATTTTTGTACTGATTAATCGAACTTTTGATGCAGCACAACTGTCCATAGCCCCATGGAATATATAGATGACATGTTACAATATCAACAGGTAACATGGATGATATTATTGATATCGATAGACAATATAAGAAAATAGAGTTAACAATTTATTTGTTAATTTGTTTTAACGTTTCTGAAGAGACATATGAGCATCAATTCCGAAAACGTTAATGAATTTTTATCAGAGAATATTCAGACCTTTCTGAACTAAGAGTGTGTGAGTGTGTTGATTTAAAGCCGCTTTGAGCATTATCTCAGTAACTGTTACATCACGGCGTGTCAGGCAGAAATATACTCAGAGAGAACGGATATTCGAACCCAGGATCATAGGTTCCAGGCGCGCCCAAGGGACGAAACTCTGCACAGCGAATTGTGCCGCCTTTGACGACTGGTGACCACGAACTCCCTTACCACTTTAATATCATTCTGTTAATTCTTGGGGGACGTGTTCGGCTTTGACAATATATGAAATAATGCTGAGAAATATATAGGTTAGGACGCAATGCTATTAACTGGTTAAAAGGTATGTGATACTCTCTGTGTTATAGGTACCACTATTACGGTATCGGTATCCGGGAGACGAGTCAGTACTACCACTCGGTGTATTCAGGAAAAGGCTTGACCAGGTAGGTGTCACGAATTAATGACACTTTGTTATGGATAGCAACTTCTTTCATTCTTTGTACGGTATTTCAGAGCAACTTCTTGCTCCTTCATCAAGTGAATGCATTACATTATGAAGCGGTGTACAAAGAAAAGAAGTTGTTGTCGATAAAAAAAAGTGTCATGTATTCATGTTCTCTCTTCTAAATGCCTATCTGAGACTTCAGGTAGGTGTCATGTTTTACCTCTGTGTTAGTTGGTAGAACAAGACACGAATATGGATTGGTTATAACTGTACTGAAGCTAACGATGTCAGGCCAGGTCATCCAGAAAGAACCTATGGATGAATACATGGATGTGGCTCTTGTGTATATGATAGAATCGTGTTTGTGTTGTGCCGCCTCAGTAACGGTTCATATATTTATTAAATAACAGGAGTTGAGATCACTACACTACGAGAGCTCCATCACTCTAATACACACGTTCACATTACTACGCTACAGCTATACCACCCAAATTCTATAACTACACTGCGAGAGCTTCCATCACTCTAATACACACGTTCACATTACTACGCTACAGCTATACCACCCAAGTACCATAGCTACACTACGAGAGTTCAGATGACTTCTTCACCATCTAAATGTGACCCGTGAACATCTTGGGTAGAATAGGTCTTCAGCAACCCATGTTGGCCGTAAAAGGCGACTATGCTTGTCGTAAGAGGCGACTAACGGGATCGGGTGGTCGGGCTCGCTGACTTGGTTGAAGCATATCATCGATCCCTGTTGCGTGGATCGATGCTCACAATATCAATCACTTGATTGTCTGGTCCAGACTCGATTATTTACAGACCGCCGTCATATCGCTAGAATATTGCTGAGGGTGGCGTAAATCGACAAACCAACCAACCAAATCTTAACCATTCAAACTAGTACACAGCAACTGTACTATAATAGTTTAGACCTGGAATAAATAGGTCAGCTGTAATCTATGCTGGTTGTAAGATGAGACTAACGGGATCGGGGATCAGATTTGATGACATGGTTGATTGCGTGTCATCGTACCATGACGGCATGGATTGTTGTTCACAATATCAAACACTGAATTGTCTGAATATTTGGCGAATATTTACAGGCCGCAGTCATATACATGTAGCTGGAGTATAGCTGAGTGTGGCGTTAAACCCCAAAATTGTGCAAATTAAATAGTTCTTACATCTACTTCAAGAGTTTAGATCGCTACAAAGTTCAGACAAACACATAAGAAAAGTTCAAACTACAAGAGTCCAAATTACTGCCGTCCATATAATTATAGTTCAGATCACTAAATTACAAGTGTTCAAACCAGATGCATACACGACTTCAGTTCCATACAAGAGTCCAAATTACTGCCGTCCATATAATTATAGTTCAGATTACTAAATTACAAGTGTTCAAACCAGATGCATACACGACTTCAGTTCCATACAAGAGTCCAAATTACTGCCGTCAAAATAATTATAGTTCAGATCACTAAATTACAAGTGTTCAAACCAGATGCATACACGAGTTCAGTTCCATACAAGAGTCCAAATTACTGCTGTCCAAATAATTATAGTTCAGATCACTAAATTACAAGTGTTCAAAACAGATGCATACACGACTTCAGTTCCATACAAGAGTCCAAATTACTGCTGTCCAAAAAATTATAGTTCAGATCACTACATTTGTTCAAATTACAGTGATTCAGATAAATAATTATGGTTCAGATCTACACAGCACGAGTTCACACACAAGCCGATAATCCAATGAGCGAGAAGTGTCGACAGTTGTTAGGAGACAAAGGAACATCAGGAGTGTGTTATTGTTGGTAAGAAGTAACCAACGCCATTTTACAACATGTCTTTGTTGTCGCCAGTCTTAAAACCCTAAAGTGTGTTGCCTATCTCGCAACTTGACTGTCTCATTGGTTTGCCCGTGGGATTAACTGAAGGTGCACACGCGGCACTCTGCACTACTCCGCTAGCCGCCGTCTCACTTCACAAATGCATCCTAAGTGGTTGTCGTATATCAAACCAGTCATTTGGTAGAGAAGAAATATCAACATGAGGTTCATTGCTGGCGAAATACTCGTTCCCTCGAGCCCTTGTCTGTCATTCCGAACGTCATTATTGACAAATTTACAGTGAAATTCACACGACTTTAAACTTTTGAAACACTTAAGATTGGTCCGGGGTTACGCAATTGACGCCTTCAAATTGTGCAGGGTTCTAGATTTTACTATCACCGACCTAACGTGCAGAAGGAATGAAATATTTACAACTGTTATACAGCAATCATTGGGTGATTTTTGTTTGCCTCTTTGGTCGCTTCGAGTCCACGTGAAGATTTTATTACCCTGAGTCAATACAGGAACGTGCTATAACCTCGGCAAGATGCGCATTTGGAGACATTAAAGGAAATATGTGTTGGGCCGTTTTTTGTGGTTATATAATATTTGGAAGTGTTTATGGTTCACAAATCACCCTATAAAGGTATCCGGGGACTTGGTACAAGCCCAAAAGCTCAGTATAAAGAACCGCTTGTCCAGTTGGAATTAGATCAAGCTTTATTAGTTTCTTCAGTTGACGAACATCTGCAGCGGATTAATGCTTGCCTTGTACGTTTTGACATCTGGTTTACTGGTCCAGGAATACTGCTTCTTTAGTCTCGTTAAGCGTGGATTTGATTTATTGTCATTAGTATTTGAACATATGTTTTGACGATGGAACGATTACACGAATGAGTTTTATTATGTCTCTTTCTTTAGGATGTCTGCTAACGATTTGGGTGAAATTAATTCAACAATGTGAAAATTTTAACATGCAGTTGGCTTCTTTAAAAAACAATGAGTTCTATTTGAAAAACGAGATCCTACGAGTATACTTTAGAATCATACTCGCGCATCATCTTTAGAGCGATGAGTGCGGGAATAGGGAGTGCATGTTAATTGAGGAGTGAGGTGGGGTGTGAGTGTGTGTGGGTGTGTGTGTGTGGGGGGGGGGGGGGGGGGGGTCGGTTCGCATTACGCATGACGAGTCAAAACGTTGAATATAAAGGCGACAAAACACCTCACAGAAATATATCCTAAAAGTAGAGACCATTTACGATTCCGACTATATCACAAGCATGTGTTTATTAATCTTTACCAAAGAGTGATGATACAAGGTGTTCACAACAAGGTGGACGTTTTCTTCCCCATCCTGCACACAAACAGATGCAGAGGAGGGTCAATTGTTCACCTGAAAAAAACGAGAGCATATTTATGGTACATCCGTCAAGCTTGGAAATGTCCTCCACATGTCTACCATACACGTTTTGAAAGCTTTACTTTTCTTCCTCTTGAACTTTCTTTCCCTGGTTAAACAATATTCGTAGAAAGAGCATGCTCAATTGTACCTCAAAACTTGTGAAATGTAGACATCAAAGGCTGGAGCTGCTGGAATAGTGCTCGACATAAAGGGAAAGTTGACTATTGGAAAGATGAAGTCATCCCTCTTGTCATACAGTCTTTATGCACAGATCTAAGTATGAAACAGATGAGGCGGTCTCACTGGTCTCTTATATTTTTAGTTCTGGTGGGTAATTAAACCACAAAGATCCTCAAATACTTCAATAACTTAATGAAAGGACAAACGTTAGATGATGATCAGAAATTATTTTCAAAAGCTTAGGTTATTTATGTATTTTAATACGGTATTATCAGAAGTGAGCCAATAATTAAGTAATAATCCGTATCAAGACGAGGCTCCGCAGCGTCTACAGTTATGGTAACATGATAGTTATGATAGTTATGACACTCCAGCATGATCCTTCTACGAAAATGTCCAAACGTGCCTCTTACTCAGGGTTGCAACATTTGCATGCGTTCATGACGGGTGTCCCCAGCGGAGCAGGATCCGCTGTTCGCGAACACCACCACTCTGGTAATGATACAGTAAAACATGCTTGTGATATTGTAGAAATTGTATAGTGGAATCTGCTCAAGAGATAATGATTATGATTATGATTATGATAGGTTTGCATCATATTCGTCATTATGAAAAAAACATCACACAATTAACATAAATAGACCAAAATCAATAAATCAAATATAACGTCGTCTGAGACGATGCTACAAATACCAGAAAGGTAAAACCAAACAGGAATTCCCGGAGTTGTGAATCATCGCTTTGATCAACAAAAAGGGAAATATATTTGGTTTTCATAGAGAGAGCCAACAAAGTGATACACGTGCACCTGGCGCTTGTAATATAGGGACAATGAAGGGGCTCGAAATGTAAGCTCTAGAGATAACAATTTATCTCTTGCACACAAACCGATTTAAAGTCATTCATACACACGGTTCCAACTCTGTTCCTGACATCACGCTCAAATCATTCTTATGGGTTATTAATTTATCTCTTGTCAATAAGTGTCCCCTGCGTCCCGTATATTCCATGCTGTTTGTTGTATATAGGAGATTACAGCCAGAGGCCACCTGGCGGCCATGATGTATGTCCAGCGCAGCGCCCTCTACCGGGATTTACCAAAGCTGCGGGGGTTTACGGCTAATAGAGCGCCTTAACGCTTTGTCGTGATAAACTTCTTACTTGTGCTTTAACATGAAAGTGTGTCTTCGTTCCATGGGACATGACTCATCTGTTTATTATACATGGGTTCGGCGGAAAATGACTTTGAATACCTTTCTTGTTTGAGTAATAACGTTGTGGGGTGCCTTATTTTTTGCTCCGGCGATAGAGGCAGATTTGTGATCCATTATTACCTCCGCCATAAAGACAGAGGGTTAGAACATGTAGCAGGAGTCAGTGTGCCTGCACTCAACATCGACCTTTGGCAGATTGCTAGTACTATTTGGACATAGGTTAGACAAGACCAACGACATAATTTAGTCAGCATCTTGAGAAGACTGTAATTCCGTCTTTTTCGGTGACATGATATATTGTCATGTCAGTGCCAATGGGTACCACGGTGTGCCAATATGTCAATGACATTGGGAGTCATGCGTATGAATATTGCCCTGGTATATCAATATCAGTACCATAAGGGTACCAATATATGTCAATATGTCTGTACCACAGGGTGTCATAATATATCAATATGTCTGTACCACAGGGTGTCATAATATATAAATATGTCTGTACCACATGGTGTCATAATATTTCAATATGTCTGTGCCACAGGGTGTCATAATATTTCAATATGTCTGTACCACAGGGTGTCATAATATGTCAATATGTCTGTACCACAGGGTGTCATAATATATCAATATGTCTGTACCAAAGGGTGTCATAATATATCAATATGTCAGTACAATAGAGTGTCGTGATATATAAATGTATCAGTAACACAGGGATGTGATTGTATATCAGCGTGTCAGTACCATATGGGTGTAATGTTATATCAATGTGTACCGTAGGGTGGGGTGCGTGAGTGTGTGCGTGCTCTAGCGTGTCGTGACACTTTAAGTCAGTGTATACTGACTGTATACTGCCCACACTGTGAGTTGTAGCAAGTTGTTTAAACTGTTGTCGCTCGGGTCCTCGAAATACTCCATGTTTACTGATAACATCGTCACCACTCGAGGGTTGCCCTCATAGGCAGCTATATCAGCACCCCCTACTACAGCACTACCTGTCTATACCAGACTCTTGGGAATATGGACGACGGGGCATTATGTATACCAAACAGTTAATATTTATGGTAGCAGTGATAATAGTAGAATCGTAGCAAATGTTGGTGTAGTAGTCGTCGTCGTAGTAGTAGTAGTAGTAGTAGTAGTAGTAGTAGTAGTAGTAGCAGCAGCAGTTATAGTAGTAGTAGTAGTAGTAGTAGTAGTAGTAGTAGTAGTAGTAGCAGCAGTAGTAGTAGACGAAGAAATTGTAGACGAAGACGAAGCGGCCGCAGCATGTAGTAGTAGCAGCAGTAGTAGTAGTAGTAGTAGTAGTAGTAGTAGTAGTAGTAGTAGTAGTAGCAGTAGTAATAATAGTAGTAGTAGCGGCAGCAGCATGTAGTAGTACATGTACATGTAGGAGTGTAGTAGTAGTAGCAGCAGCAGCAGCAGTAGTAGTAGTAGTAGTAGTAGTAGTAGTAGTAGTAGTAGTAGTAGTAGTAGGAGTGATGCCATGCCGCAGTTTAACATGAATGCCCCATTCAGACACAGTATACTGACTCCGAGCCAACCAGTCCTTGTTTTAGCCCCTTAATGCCGAGCGCCAGACAGGGTAACAACAAGTACCATCTTTTAACGTCTTTTGGTATGACGCGGCCGAGGATCGAACCCCGGACCTTCCGCTCTCCGGGCGGACGCTCTACCACTAAACCAAGGATATGATGTAGGTGTTAATTAGTTCAAGTAATAGCTCGAAAGGAATTATGTAGTCGAAACAAGTAAAATGGAAAAGATACTTGCATGAAATGGATTTAAGTCATATATCTGGTACATGAACTGCAGAAATGTATGTTACTGTGCACGTTCTTTGTAATCTGGATTTCATATCAAACCCAGATACGTCCCCATCACGACTCTTGGTAAGTAAGCAGCATACATATTCTCGTGGGTGCAAGCATACAACTGAAATACTGTTCAATATACACCTAGACGAGCTAATAATTTAGTTATACAAATGGTGCAAATGATAAGTTGTGTTTATTTTTTTTCTAGGTTCTCAGGATGCAAGTTAAAGAACGAGGTGAGTCATTACAACTCTATTTTATCAAAATATATATCCTGTTTTGTCATAACGCATCAGATCAGCGTTCTTTGCATATTTTGATATTTGTTATCAGACGACATGAAACAGCGTAACGGTCAATCAATATCGACATTTTTGTAATTTTTGAAATATGTCTTATCGCCGTCCTTTGTCCGACACAAGCCGTCAAAGGGAACGAAACCATTGAGGAGGATGAACAAAGGATTTATCTATCCCTAAAGCGCCATGTTGACCGCCGTAACGGCCTCTAACCCACACACTAAGTAGCCTCATTCTTTGGCTATCCGTCTTTGGCTTGGGAAAACTAAAACATTGATTACGGTTTTATCTTCAAACTCAAGAACATGGGCTAGACACGAAATGACAAGCATGGCGAACATTCCTGCCACTTCTCGCTATCCGCCGACCAACTTCCGCGGGACTTCGCGATGCTAGTATTGTCTCGCGTTGGGCTCAGAGGCTGTCTGTACCGGAAGTTGCTGACAGGCGGAGCTGTCAGACATTTTGCAAATTAGTTTCGGAGGATGTTTGTAGAGGTGTAACTTCCTTTAAACCTGTTAAAATAGTACAAAAATCCATAAACCTGTTTTACATCTAGTAGCATATCCGTTACGCAATGGGCACGAAGTTTGTAAAAAAAGTCACCGGGAAGTGGCAACCTTCAGCCTAACAATAGGAAGGTGTGCGAATGCAGAATTGATTTTATAAATAACCGCAAGGATGGACTAGAATCTTCGGAATGCAGCCAGGAGTGAGTAAGTGAGTTAGGGAGCGAGCGAGTGTCTAATACATAAATGTGGCTAAAAATAAGTAAAAGCTTATCTTTGTGAAATTTAAGAGCAAATCTATCAGCGAATCTGTGGTCTTTATCATCTTCTACAAAGAAAATCAGCTTGGTACATACATTTAGTGTGTTTATATGCCCCGAACCCCTAAGCGTTGATATGAGCAAATATATATATGATAAACTTTCATAATAATTCCTTTAAAATAATCTCATTTGTTAAAAGGGCCATTATTACAGTTTGTCATTTAAACTATGTGATCTCACCTCACAGAATACTTAAAAGATTTCTGTCAGCGCTTTTATCAACATCCGGGGGACACCAAGAGAGAGATGCCTTTATTTTTTAAATCTTACTCAATTTGGGCTTTGACGTAACGAGTGGAGGCTTTAACCAGATGTCTTCACCAGAATTAACTACAGGAGTCTATAAGTGACCGAACATGGGGCTCAGGTATCGAAGGCGTTAAAATTCGCTGTTCAGAGTTGCGGCACTTGGGCCTTTCAAGATGCGATGATAAAGTGTTCGAATCCTAGATTTGCCTCAGTTTCATCCTTGGTTTGTCAGCACCATAGTTGTGCTCGTTGATTTTACTATCGTTGTAAGAAACGTAGACGATCGGCATCGCAGCCTCTCTGATGCACCGTGATGTAACGGTAGTACTGTTAAAAGTAACGTTAGACCGAACTCATTTCACTCAAAATACCGTTATTTGAACATACGAGAGATTCAAAATGGATTTTATCGTACTATTAAGTTTCTCTCTCTATATATATATGTACATTTTACAACAACACTACAAATGCATTGCACCGCGTGACAGCAAGCATACACCAAGTACAGATCATAAGTCAAGTTGAATATGAACCATTGCCGATGAGATTTACTACCCTTCATCCCCTCACTGACCCCGCCCTGCTGTAAAGCTGTATATCACCCCCTCAAACATTTTTCCTGGGTCGTGGCAGATTTGTTCTCTGGGGGGTTCAACATTTCACTTAACAAGGTGCACTTTTTTAACGATAAGCTGAGATGATTTAACATGCTTTGTTAAACCATTATCAACTTAACTGTCCTCTTTTTGTGACCGTCAAATCAGACGTAGTATTGCTATACCCAGGTGCAGGTGGCAAGTGCGAGGTGTTTCACGATGGGCTTCAGTAAGTTAATAAAGATTTCATGACTTAACAAAATCTGGTGTCCGTTTATTGCTTTTTCGGGGCGGTTGAGTAAATTAGTGTTTGAAGCGTTCGGTGGTCGCGCAGTCTCAACAGCAAGTTTGCCTTTTGCGCCCAATAGAATCGGTTTGGGGATAATCGAGACTGGTGATTGTCTGGCGTTGACGTTTTAAGCAGTCAGCACCAGTCTGTTAATTATGGCGTCTGGACAAGACAAACTGTTGTCACTGGAAGTAAGCAGCGAAGTCACGCCTGACCAACCAATGCCTTTTCAGTTCAGACTGAGGCACTGGTGATCGAATGAGTATGGTTTTACGCCGCATTTAGCAATATTCCAGCAAAATCACGGCGGGGAACACCTGAAATTGGATTCACACATTGTACCCACGAGGGGAATCGAACCCGGGTATTTGGCCTGACGAGCGAACGCTTTAACCACTGGGCTATATATTGCTGGAATATTGCAGAGTGTGACGTTATACAACAAACATACAAACATTGTACTTGAATAATATCATTTGTTTATTATTCGTCATCAACAACAGCACACAGTAAAGAACCAAATGTCGTTGTTGCGGTATTCAGACACATCAGCATTATTGGTCGTGGTACGTTATTATGCTATACCACTCAAATGACGGTGTCGGATATACAATATGATCGCGCCTGGTCGAGTGGTCTATGAAATCGTGTGCGCCAAATTCCGCTAATTATGAGTTCGAATCCCAAATACGCCCCAATGAGCTAAACCGAACGTTTTATTTTGGCGCAATAAATCGATATAATTGTTAATGTAACGTATACAGGACGTGCGGCTTCACTGTAGAGCAACTGAGCATGCATACACTCGTTTAATTTGTTGGAACGCTAACACAGGCTCCGACGTTAATACACGTTTATACATATTACAATGAGGGGCGGTCGGGTAACCTTGTGGTTAAAGCGTTCGCTCGTCACGCCGAAGACCCGGGTTCGATTCCCGATATGGGTACAATGTGTGAAGCCCATTTCTGGTGTCCCCCGTCGTGATATTGCAGGAATATTTCTAAAAGCGGCGTAAAACTATACTCACTCACTCGCTATTCGAATGAACGCACACTAAGTGAAAGCCAAATTCTCATAGATGTAATTAGTGTCTTTTATGAATTGAGACCTTATTTCATGGGTGTTATGTAAAACAGTTAATCATTTACTGTTAGATGGATCGACATTAAAATTTAAACAAAACAAAAATTGACGAACAAAAGGTTGTGTTGCTTATATCTTTCAAATTGCTGGCACTGTCAATTGATCCGTGTCTTGTCAGACGTGAAGATTACACCCTTATTTTGCAAATTGAAACTCGGGATAATTTATTTCTTTAGCAATAAGCACATATCATGTTAGCGATTATTCTCGGGCGTTGACGTTTTAAATTTACAGCATCCTTAAATTCCAGATATCTGTAATATAACAGCTTCAGGCTTAGCACCAGAGGTTGGAGGTCACACTTACTGATAGTGACATCCTCATCTTTCTCTGATGTACATTACCCGGATTAGGATCTGAAGTAACGCTAAATCTCGCGACAAATCTCGAGATTAGTACATTTAACATTTTGAAAGTTAAAGTCAACTTTGTGGTGACATGCTTGAGACCCATGATGCCGGTGTGGTTAGTGTTTTAAACCGTTACCAGATAAGTCGCGTTGGAGAACCACCAGGGTTTAGGGATCAGACTCAATGGCTATGACGATAAGACTAGTTGATAAAGTGATAGATATGTGGTGTTATTCGTAACAGCTTACGGTGACGTCATCACTACAGTTCCGCTATTCTCTACATCGGGATGATAGTGACCGCGTGATCTCAAAATAAACCCAGTCAGGCCATGAAAGGTTTTTTTAAATCTTTCTTATCATTCTGCTAGACATTTAAACAAGCTGTGTGGCCGAGTTATTTAGGGGCGGTCAATAATGTTTAAGAAGTGGTTTTATCCGGAAGAAAAATTCGGTTTAAATAATAGTTTTGTGAATGTCAAAGTGTTTACTTATAACTTCACTAGCCGACAGTAACTTCATTTGAGGAAGTGTCTGTCTGATGTAGAATTAAGGGGATGAGCTTGGCAACGTGGTTATTTGAAAAAATAAGGCTCTGAGAAAAAAATATTAGTTTGTTTTATTATAACTTTACAAATGAACCTTTCTGTCTCAAATTCTATACTCTTGAAATCTTTTGATTGTCTATTAGAAGTCCAGGCTCACGATGCTAAGGGTTCATTTTCTTGATCGTCGTCAATTGCAATTCGCTGTTAGTTTTCCGTTTCAGTGTAGCAGTATAGATGTCAATACAATTGTGAGGTTACGTAGCCAAAATTCTGAAAGGTGCAGTTTTCATCATTTTATATATAATTATCCTTTCGCGTGGTAACATTACTTGGTACGAGCCAAACGATCCGTCGTCGTGTAAAGGATTAGATATGTCTGAAGGGGGCGCAGTTAAATTATTAGCTTCAAAACTTTTCTTTCGCTAAACTGACACGTCTAAGTTTTTGTTTGCACACCCAGGGAAAGGTGTGTGTGTGTGTGTGTGTGTGTGTGTGTGTGTGTGTGTGTGTGTGTGTGTGTGTGTGTCTGTGTGTGTGTGTCTCTGTGTGTGTCTGTGTGTCTGTGTGTGTGTGTGTGTGTGTGTGTGTGTGTGTGTGTGTGTGTGTGTGTGTGTGTGTGTGTGTGTGTGTGTGTGTGTGTGTGTGTGTGTGTGTGTGTGTTGGAAGGGGTTTGGGCGTGAAGGTTGGGGGAGAGTGTGTGTCACAGACAGTTTTCGCCAGTGGTATATTTATGTTTATATCTTAATTAAAAAAATGCTGTTAGTCAGTCATTAAAATACATAGCCATACTTCAATGCTTATATTTTCTTTAAAATACATTACTTTTGTTGTCCAAATACGGTCGTCAAGTTTGTGTTCATTGTGTTTTAGATATCCCCATTCAGCAATTTAGTCTTCACGTTTAATTTCGATTAACGGTGAAATGTACCACACCATTCACTGCTTAATGTCAATCATTTGTAATAAAAGAAGTAATCAAGTATTTGGTCCATGTAACTGACGCCTGTCATTGGTATACGTATGATTTTCGTCTCGTCTCATATATTGACGATTGAATGTTATCTAAACTTTGTCCGACATCTTAATCTTTGTATAACCGAAACCTTTCTCTACCACTCCCCGTGTACTAGTCAGATACGACTAGGTATAGCTGTTTAATCAACCAGCAGATTTGTCTAACAAAGTAGTGAAATCCTTTTAATCCTCCCTAAACGCCAGGCTTAATTAGTGTTGTATGGGCGCTGAGTGTAGTGGTGTAGAGACAAGATAAGCGGTTACTTTAAACGGAGGCTGCAAGGAGCAGAGATCAATTTCGGGTAAAGGGGTCATTTGTCATCCAGCATCACTTTCTTCTGTGATAACTGACGGTGGAGTCGCCGACAACCCAGGAACGTGATTTGATGACTGCGAGTCGGGAACGTTACAACCGCTATAAAGCTGTGCAGTAGAATAGCCTCTGACATCCTGTGACAACGTCCCACTGATGAAATTACTTCATGAATTAATTCATATTTTGTAGTAGGAGAAGTTATAATAATAATAATAATGATAATAATAATAATATAAAAATGAAATGAAATGTATGTAAGAAAACTCCACAAATTTACGTTTGTGTGAAAATGTTAGGAAATAATTACTCCCAAATCGGTTAAGGAATATATAAAAGTCTGACAGAATTATCTTCTTGCGCAATGTTGGTGTTGGTGTACTTTTCATAGTTTGAATTTTATTATGTAGATAATAAACTTATTTATCAAAATATCCGATACATCCTTAACATATTCTATAAGTAGGCATAACTTCCCCTGTCTATGTGATTATGACATGACCATGATTATTCCACTGTTTTACTTACCATATGCCCTGACGGAAATACATTGCGATTCTGAACTCTATCACTATAATATCCCAGGATTTTCATTGATCGTATGACATGTCGGAGGCATTTTACAATCAAACTTTTTAAATGTTATTAATTAGTTTTATATATGTAACAACTATTGAACATCTCTATATACATTTTTTGGTAGAATTCTGAAAATGAAAAATATATAATGACTGGGACTTTATTTTTTAACACAAAACTGAAAACTGTAAAAGCTGTAACTTGCAGAAAAATTGAATTTCGCACAAGAAAACACTTCATTCTAATTTTCGATTCAGTCTTAAACCACATTCCTCTGTGTGTTACATATATATCTCTATTTTCAATATTAACTCTTAAATATATCGATAATATCCAAATGCTGGTATGATGTATGTACCTTGAAAAATAAGCAGTTATTTACTACACTATCCATAATAATCATCTCATACATAACCCATGCATATCATCGCATGCATAACTGAAGCAATACGTATACAAAAGGCACACGTACATGTACATAGTACCCGTGAGCATCTTGTGTACTGTTGTTTACTGTTAACTGGTAAAAATGATTATAATGATTTGGATGATATGAACTCACAGATTTTTATCTCTTCTATGTACACAAGCCACTTATCAAGACAGGCCGGAATATCTTAGTGGTGTTTATGCAGCCTGGCGTCGACGCGAAATCACTCTTGAAATGTTTTTTACCTTTCAGACTTTCAGTTGGGGAAACCAGACATATCACAACCTTGTAAATAACACAAGAACAGACATGCATAAAGTGATATTGACATTTTAAAATTGTTTACCTATTCAAAAATTAAAAGCGACAAAACTCTTTCAATATTCATAAGAAATCTCTGTTAAAATCGACTTTACGATTCCGACTATGTCATGAGCATGTGTTTATGAATCACTAAAGTGATGATACCAGGTGTTCGCTAAAAGTTGAGCGTATCCTGCACTGTGGCATCCATCACAAAAACACGCAAAGGCAAGTCAATTGTTCATCTATAAAAGCATAGGACATGTGTTACAAGTCAAAGTACGGAAATGGATCTAACATTGTTTATGTCACTGATGCGTCAAACATCAAATTTAGTCTTCAAAAAGTTTATCGAGCCCATATTCGCTTTTCCTCTCTCAATCTTGAAGACGAGGAGGGTAGTTTAAACTGCTTAAAACTGACAATATAAAATAAGACCATGAAAACAGGTATGTTTGGTTTAATTTGGTGTGTGCATATAGCTCCTACAAATAAACCCCTGCATTAAACACATAGGTTGTGATGTGTTGGTCCAGTCAAACGTTAATTCCTTCTTCCTTCATTTCGGTGTTGATGGCGATGTTGATCTACCGTCGTCCACTGAAGTCAAATACCAACTCACATCATCTGAGTTTCAGGATGAGGAATTTTAAACCCACCTGAAGAGCGTTTGCTCAGCTTTTCTAGAATTTGTCAACATAAAGATGTAGAAGTTGAGGCTAATCCCTAACGAGATTAGATAATGACTTCATTTTGATATTAGCGACCAAACATTGTCTGTAATTATTTGCTTTGCCAACTGCCATGTACATACCTACGGACTAGAGGCAACACATTAGCGCTTCTATTAAACCATTAACTTGCTTGAAAGAGGTCATTTTTCACCCGTGGCGATATCCACCATGGTCTCAACAAAGTTACCTGTAGATCAAAGATAGGTAAAGAACATAGAAGATGCTCGTAATGGTTAATGGAGACAAATTTTACAAATTAAACATCGCAAGTATATGGCTGCATTGCGGTATCCCTTGATTTCTTATAACATTTTCTGGCTTCTATGGTGAAGAATACCTGTGTGAATTGGAAAAAAACCGCCCACCTTATGATTATATATATATTTTCAATCTATGTTTTATCTTATCTGGAAAAGATGAGGTAGGATAATGGCCCTTTTTTACCCACAGGATCTGCATAATTTAATAACTGAACAAAGCCTTTGGAATTGTTTCAGATGTGTTCATATGAATGGGATTTCGATTTTGTTTATTTACACAATTGAATGTTTTGGACATAATAGAAAACACTGAATACATAGGATAAATTGTGTCAAAAAGGCTGATTTTAGGGAAAAAATCAGGAATCGTTTTTCTAATATCTGAACATGATCAAGTCTTTGTCCCAAATTCAGTCATACTTTCTCAAATATAGATTGTCATTTGAAGTTTATAACATCTCTCATTTCAGTCATACTTTCTCAAATATAGATTGTCATTTGAAGTTTATAACATCTCTCATTTCAGTCATACTTTCTAAAATATAGATTGTCATTTGAAGTTTAAAAAATCACTCATTTCAGTCCTACTTGTGTATTTGATCAACTCTGAAGTCAAAAGTCCAAACCTTTTAAGTGACAGAAATAAACAAATCCCGATGTCAGTCATAAGAACATATCTGATAATTTTCATACCAATATTGCAAAGTTTTCTGCACCCTTTAAAATTTGACATTTCTAGTAGGTCACAGAGGTCCCTTATCCTGCTTCTTTCTTTGTTGTAGCGTGGAGCGTGTGTTTGTTCACAGAGACAAGATGTGGGTACTGTGTTTCAGTATTCAATGGCGCATGTATCCTATATGTGGTTTTTCTTTTCCACAGTTCCTATAAATGAAACTGTATATTTTATACGTAAACCAGAGCTATGTTTTAACTGTTAAACCAACATTAAGATTTGCTGATGAAACCTCCTGATTAATGATACCTCGTTATTACGGAAACCCGGCTTAACGGATTATTATTGAAGATTCGTACAAAGGGATTTTACACCACAAAATGGATTCGTTAAATTGTGGGCGTCGCCAGCCGGCGTTTGACTGCACATGTGTGTGTTTAGGAACAAATAACTATCAGTGATGTATTATCATCTTGTGTAGTATATCGCCTTTTTGTGAGTTGACAATTACCAAACATTTTCTTTTTTTCATTTGACCCCATACAACACCAGTACAAGTGAACCTCATAAAACCAGCCTGATTGGTTAATTCATTCGTTTAACTAAACAACACACGGCGTATGATGTTTGTCTGTCAATAACATTTACAGAAGTAAATAACTTGTTAACTTGTAAAAGTCACATTGTAGAGGTTCTGAACGAAGTTCGGGAAATCAGCTGTGTATATTCCCAAAATTGTTGCAGGAAAGGCTATGCTTATGCAAATGGAAATGTGAATACATGTTTATTAATATTAATATTTGACAGGTGACCGAGTGATCTATTTAGCCATGCCGTGGAGTTCAGTCCCTTCGTCGAGCCAGAATTCGATTATCGAAGTTTCGAACCCCTTCCTAATTATAAACTGCCGGGCAAAAGAAAGTACACACCCATGTTAAATGGTGGCTAGGAATGAAACAAGCAAGAAATGGTTATTCGATGGTATTTGATGTGGGTATTATAGTTGTGTTTGGGATCTTACGTTTGCAGTGTTACGGCGACTGTTTTAAGCGTAATTGATAACGTTTGTGATGTTTTGGTAAAATTCAAATTTCAAGTGTATACTTCCTTTTGCCCGGCAGTGTATATGACACTTGGTTTGTCAGCACCGTATACCCGTGATTGTTGGTTCACCTTCGTGGTACACGTCTTCAGTCTGCCTCGCCTCGGGTGTTCCTCCCTCATCAAGCCGACACGCCGTGATGTAACCGTAATGATGCTCAAGGCGGCGACACTACTTGCCAGGCACTCACTATTTTAAATATATATTCCAGGGCGGCTTCACCCGGAAGTATTCATTGAGTTCAAAGACCGGAACTCTCCTGCCAGACTTCCCCAACGCTCGTTTCCTCATCCTCCCCCTCTCTATACCGCGGGAGAAGGTAAAAAACTAATACATCATCATTCAATTTCAGATTTGTAGATTTCTTTCAAATATAAAAATGTAACTTGAATACTTTGTTCATTCACTTTGTAACATTTTAAAGAAAACATATGTTGTTATGAAAGCAGAATATTCATACAATATACACCTTGACTAGTTTTAAAGATGCGCAGTTTTGAAATCCAAATTAATACAATATATCAACTTTCACTAACGAATCAATTGCATCCCGTGAAGATCCAAGTTAGAATTGGTCTTCAACAACCCATTCTTGTCGTAAGAGGCGACAAACGGCATGGGGTTGTCAGGCTCGCTGACTTGGTTGTGCATGTCATCGTATCCCAATTGCGTAGATCGATGCTCATGATGTCAATCACTGGACTGTCTGGTCCAGACACGAGTATTTACAGGCTCCCGTCATACAGCTGGAATATTGCTGAGTGCGGCGTTAAACAACAAACAAACAACATACATTCTTTTTACCATATCATGTCAAGCATGCATACATTTTTCCATGCAAACATTTCACAATATATGTTATTGTTGATGTTATTGTTATTATAATAGGCGCTTATCATTTTCTTGTACTTCTTCGCCGCGAATAGCTGCAAGATTGTTGATGTGGTGATAAACAATAATCACTTACTCTTGTTCTTCTTGTGAAAAAAAGGGGGGTACGGGTTGCCCAGTCGTCTAAGGCGCCACGATTCGCTGTGCAGAGTTGCGTCCCTTGGGCACACCAGAAACCTATGATTGTGGGTTCGAATCCCGGTTCGCCCCGATGATGTTTCTAGGTTTGTCGGCACCATACCCGTGCTCGTGGGTTTCACCGAAGTGGTAAACGTGTGAGACCTGCATCACTTCGGGCTTTCCTCCTACATTAAGCTGACACGCCGTGATATAACTGGAGTACTGTTAAAAGCGGCGTTAAACCCAACTCACTCGCTCTTGAGAAAAAATTAGGTCTTTCATTTATAATGTTCCTGGCTTTATAAAGCATCACACAGTGCTTAATTACAATAATTGAACACACGGCCAGGAACAAGAACCCCGTACCTATCCTTATGTTATACAATAACACCTGACACAGTCATTTACCAAACAGGCGATGCACAAATAACGAATATAAAGCACTTTTGTGTTCAAATGGCCGTAAGAGTCGAGCATTAATCTTCATACACTGTGTCTAGTGCTGCCATCACTCATTCACAGACTCACACAGAAATCAACCTGGGATATTAATTCCATTTGTAATGATTAAAGAGACTGCGAACATAACTGTAGGAAAATTAATAACTAAATGATATGCGAGATAACAGGCCTCACCGCACAATCCATTAAAATTTCAAGAAGTAGTAAATTTATGTCTGTCTTGCCCAACCGCTAGTCACGTCACCGCCTTCATTGCGCATGGTTCTATTCTCATTTATTGTAACATTGATAAACCAAATGTCGCCGTGTGGTTATTAATTGTTCTAAAATCCCGACTTATTCCGAGTCTGAGATGCCGAGAGCACCTTCAAAGCCTCGGCAAACACGCGTTATTTAGACGAAGCCCAATGGGCAGGCTGTTTTCGAGGGGGAGCTGGATGAATAGGAGATTTATTTGGCTTGTAATTTCCTCGGGGCCGTGGTCTGTCCGGAACAAGGGGATGGAGAAGCGGGTGTGTGTGTGGAGGGGGGGAGGGGGTGATCTGAGAAGGGCGGGGTGGGAATATGGTGATATACTGCTGAGTGGTTGGGATATTTTGTGACATGGTCTTGCTTAACTCACTGGGAAACATTGTATCTGCCGAAACATGCATGTATGTGAATAACAAATGCTTTAAACATGGTAGTCTACTGCTCACTGTTGTCCTCTGAGAATTATTGCAAAACTTCTTTACAATAACAGATAGTCAACTGCCATAATTCCAGCCTAGTTCGACAACGATGGAAACTGGACTTATATAGTCAGTTAACTCCCTTGCCTCGGGAAGATGAACATAATCCTACCAAGGGAAACAGTTTTAGGCGACCATGTGCGCCTACGGAGTTGGAATTTTGTTTGAAACCAAACTAATGTGCTCTACGGGTTAACAATGTTACTAACACGGGAACATTCTTGATTCCAATTGAACATTTTCTTTGCAGGGGAACATTTATACAACCTAGGGAATATTTACTTTACAAATCAGCTTTTTCTCCTCAAGGGATCAGTTTCAGTTGCAGGAGAATATCTTTCTTTTCAGTTTCCTGCCTGTAGCTGTTATCCCTTTTCCTCAATACTGAAACATACATATTGTGAAATCAGTGTCCCCCAAATCCAGTCTTGTCCTGGACGCTATTATTTGTGTCAATTATGAAATATGGAACCCGTCTTTCCATAATTAGGACAATGATAAACTGCTAAAATGATAAATTATGTTCATGTAATTAGCGTTAGAGGCTAAGTTTCCCGAGTTTGGTGCTGTTTTCAAGGGGTAACACTTGTTCGGTAGCGGAGTCAATGATAATTATAGAAAGACACATGGTCCAGCATATTCACATGTGTCGGAATCTCCTCAACCCATTCTTTAACATGTTGACCGTTGAGCAGTGTGAGAAACTCCCTTAGATAATTTCCTCTATTCGTTATAGTCTCATTTGTTTGGAAGTGGTCTTTCGCCTCCAGGTCCCTAAGATGGAATCGAGAGAAGCGTGACATTGATGGCAGTTTTCCCCCATGAAATTTAAGCACGCGATTTAAGTAGGGATTTGGCAGCTTCAACCACATTCTCTAGGGTCCGACAGAGAGTGGCGCGTACCCTAGGCAACGTGGTAAGACTGTCGACGTCCCTTTGATGTGGACGTTGATAAGAAAAGAAGCGGCTAGGCACGGAGCGCGTGCACAGGGTTGCGTGTCCATCCACATAGATTCGCGATCCTGCCTTGTCATGTTGCCTCGATGTTCAATCGATAGCGGAGGGATTTGTGTAGATACACTGTACACACTTCATCGCGTCACAACTGTAGATCTGATGAGAGTGGTGAATCAACCAGATATCATGACGTTATGTGTCATCCAGTTCTCCATAAGAGTTAGGTGCACGGACAGACCAGTCGTCTAAAGGCGCCGCAATTCGCTGTGCAGAGTTGCGTTCCTTGGGCATTCCAGAAACCTATGAAATCTATGTTCGAATCCAGATTAGCCCCGATTATGTTTCTAGGTTTGTCAGCACCATACTCGTTCTCGTGGGTTTCACGAAAGTTGTAAACGTGTAAGACCTCCGGCCTTCCCTCCCACATTAAGCTGACACGCCGTGATATATCTGCAATACTGTTCAAAGCGGCGTTAAACCCATCTCACTTACTGAGGGATTTAAAGGTATAATTTGTGATGGTTTCACTGTGGGGATCTGACCTGAATAATTCTGCGCAATTAACAATTCATGTCAAAATCTAAATTTCTGTATTAATATGCATTAATCATACTAATACAGTGACATTCCCGCGTTATTTCTTAGAATTGATATAAGGATCGGGTGAGGTGACTTGGAGTGTGTGTGTGCCTTTATGGAGTGCATTGTTGTGTGAACTGAGTGTCTTCAATCACTTGTTTGTCGGGCCAAGAGTCGGTTCTTTACATGCCCTGTAATTAAATATCCGCCATATATCTGGTTGATATATCTGGTATGTATCTAAGTGCCGCTTTGGACAAAACATATGTGACCCATGATTCATCATGCTGTTCTTGTATTTGCAGGTGGAGACGTTCATAATGATGTATAAAACCCACTGTCAATGCATCCTAGACACGGCAATAAACTCAAACTTTGAAGAGGTAAGACTTATACAAAGAATTCTTAGGTTTTTTTTAGCGATTTACGGATCCGGTCGAAAAGGGTGAAGGGCCACAGGAAGAAAGGAAATAACACAGTAAACATTCCAACCGTTCTACTCTTGACCGATTCGAAAAATTCAATGATGCAAATAGTAAAAGCTATTAAAAATGTAACTGTGAACTTCTTAAATAGTAACTGATTAAATAATAGCACAAGCATAGTTTTTCTGGACACTTCAAACTCCTTTTAGAGACAATAAGCCATTGTATGATGATAATAATCATCATCATCATAATAATAATAATAATAATAATTTCCGTCCCTTTGACACTAATGTGATTGACAAAATTTAGGAAAAACATGGCAAATATGCGGACCTCGCTTTCGAAATGTCACGCTTGCATCCCAAGTACCAAGTTGTCCGACTCCCCATTATTCTCGGTGCTTTAGGTTTGGTACCTCCCAATCTGTTGATTGACATTAGGAGAGTACCCGGGTTTGCTACCAGGAATACAGCCCTTCTGACAATCTGGGCAATGCAGAAGGCTGCAGTGTTGGGGAGTCGTCATATTCTCCGAAAAGTTCTGGGTGGTTTCGACTAGACAGCGCTTCCTGGGAGAAGTCCCATTCGCTGTCTTGACTGGGTGTACAGGGGAAAAGGACCCTGAGCTGATGGCTGATGATGAGCCTAACCAGCCTGACTGTGCCAAGATAACCCAAACCCTCTTTGCTGCATTTTCTATTTTAATCTGTAAATAATAATACTAATAATAACAATAATAATAGATGATGATGATGATGATGATATATGCATCTTTACACATCCCTTAAACCATGCTTTACAATCATTTCCCTGGTTAATGTATGCCAAGCGGGACCCATTGGCCGCTGCGTCAGAAACAACCGAAGCCTAACCTTATAGAGATCGAAGTAAATACATCATAAACAACTCCATCAATGACTACTTCCCCTAAGCTGACGAAATGTTATATTTTTAGTGCCCATAATCGATGTGGGCAAATGTTGTTTTTCTTTGATAGAAAATGTATATTTCTTTCAGTCCACCATTCTTTATATTTCTCTACACATAAATGGATACATCAGTAATATGCAACCAACACTACCACTTCTCAACGTTACCTGCGGGTATAGTTTCGTCCAATGATACTATGTTCCATGCAACTACCGTTGACACCAGCATCTGCCCCCGGACTGTAATGATTCTTAATAATTACATGCTGCTCAAGTCGGCAAACAACCAAATCGTCGGATATTAATCCAGGTTCGTTTCAGACGCCATTTATTATCAGAAAAGATAGCATCACACGACCTCTAGCACACTGGGGTTGATTAATTGAGAAACTATGGGACCAAGCGTCCCCCACATCCCTGTTCTAATCTCGTCTGTACTCGTGTTCTAGCCAAATAGTAATAAATTATCCATTTTGACCGTATTTGGTGTGGGCGGCGTCCAATTTTCCATACCCGACGCTATCTTTTGCTATTTGGCGTTGTTCTGCAGGCAATATGCGCTCAGAGAAAATGAATAATATCGAGGACCTATGTACATATCATCCCACTGGCTATGATTAATTAGTAAATAAATTGTATATGACTATTATTATCTGGCATACTATAAGATCGATATAAATGTTGTTTGATATATATTTTAGTATGTATTTACATATGCGTTTTTATTTGTGATGTATTGTGTGAACAAGAGAATTAACATTTTGTTTGGCGTTATATAATAGAAACAGAAGGGTAGTTTTGGAGGCAAGGAGTAGAACATACAGTAAATATAAATATTAGTGGGCAAAGCGCCACAGTGCAATTATAAACACAACGTGCATATTTTCTTTTATTTTTGTAATTCATAAATATACAAAAAAACGTTTACCACAATATTACATATTTATTTTCAACCAGATGATGCAAATATCGATTTCGATTTGTATAATATTATAAAAAACCATAAGAACTATTAAGTAGGTAAAACATTGGAATGGTAACCATGGTGATGAGACAAAAATGTTGTTTGAAACTCTCATAGATAATTGCGAATGATTTGAAATTTTATTTTATTTGATCCGAGCATCCTTTGATTCTTCATCCTGCGCCCTCTTGTTTCCAGATTCAGAACTTCCTGTTGCACTTCTGGCAGGGACTTCCGGAACACCTACTCCCCCTGGTGGAGAACCCCGTCATCATTGACATCATCTGTGTGTGTGACTCCATTTTGTACAAGGTCAGTCCTTGTCATGTACGAGATGAGAAATGAATAGACACTTTTATTCAAACAACCATGCAGCGTTCAACAACTTCCACCATTCTCACTTCCAGCATGTCTGTACACAGGCTGGACATTAAGCAGGAACATGTTAAGAACGGCTACCATGATGTCAGTTTTTACCAAAGGGGAAATATGTGTGATCTAGAAAGACTCATTAAAGTGGAACCTGTTCAACCGGGGCATACATCACAAACACATGCAGATGCAAGGCAATTGTTCACATGAACATATGAAGTTAAACATAAGTTAAACTAAGAATTGCATCGTATGCGTCAAATTTGGAAATATTTGAATGTCAGTAACCCTGATCAATCAACCTTTGTGCAAAAGTTCCTTAGATATTCGTGAACACCGTTTCGTTTGGGTTACACATTTCTAAGTATTATTTCATACTGATGTTTTTGGGTTTTTTAAATTTCAGGTTTTAACAGAAGTGTTGATTCCCGCTACAATGCAAGAAATGCCCGAAACGTAAGTAACTTTTTTATGTGTTTTTTTTTCTTTTTACCTGGACACAGGTCGTCTTGTTGTCTTTCGCGTTGCAAATTGTTTACCAGAATGACGCTGATTGCGAAATATACTCCATATGAGCAGATACTAGTATCTGGATAAGGGCGGTATATAAATGTATAGTATGCCTACCGACAATGACTGTGAAAGAAGTACTATTCTATAAAATATTAGCTTCCGCGGTGATGCGGCCGTCAAATCGACTGTTTCAAACAGAGGGGGCTCATGGTGATTTGATACCTCCGATTAACCAATCAAAATCAAGTATCTTTCACATTCATTGTAGAATGTATAATAACAGGCATATATACTTGCGAGTCGGGAACGTACAACTTAAGCTGTGCAGTAGAAAATCATCTGAACTCCTATGACAACGTCTTACTAATGAAATCACTTCATGGATCAATTCCCATTGTTTTGTAAGAAATCAGAACAAACTTATTGAAACCGGCCAGCATATACGGCAGCATAGTTTTGGCAAAGAATTATAACTTTTCTATTAAAACCGGACAGGTCTGATAGTAACAGATCCAAAATTCAAAACCGGACTTTTTACCGGAACAGAAATTCGGATATTGACCTACCAGAAAACGAAAACGTACATACATGTATATGGCTCGCACGATGATGTCAGGTGCTCTTTTTTTGTTTTAATGCGTTTCCAGCTTATTGACATGTTCTTCCCTATAGGCTGCTATGTGATATCAGGAATTTCGCCAAGCACTGGGAGAATTGGGTAACAACTTCACTAGAAAACCTCCCCGAAGTCCTCGCCACCAACAAACTCCCGGTAGCAAGGAGGTTCGCCTCATCGTTAAAACGACAAACATCATTTCTTCATCTTGCCCAGGTGAGGAGCATCACGCACTGCATTATCTTGTGTAGGCACGGATGTCACGCCCCAGTCACACGGCTTGACTGAGTCCAATGAGGACCTCGCTCAGCTCTAGCAGGACGCCGTATTGGAAGCAGTTTCGAGCACGTGGCTATCACATACAAGAACATAAAATGGCGGCTGTTGTGAACTGAATGTTACTGTTTCCGCTTGCTGTTATTTTCAAGTCAGTGTGTATGCCTAGTGTCTGTGTTAAGCACGGAACTACTTGTCTTCAGCAGTGCGAACTGTATGCGGAGGTATCTGTTGTTCAGCAGTTTACACAGTGACTTGCAATATCCATACGCCATTGCTGCCCGATGTTTTATATAGGTAATGGAGTAGGTCGAGTCGACCAGATTGGGTCCTGTAATCTATGGTGCCACAATGAAATGAACGTAGGTTCGAATCCAAGAAACAATCTGATAATGACTGGTTTGTCTGCACCATAGCTGTTATCACCAATGTAATAAATGTTCGAGACCTGTGTCCTTTCGGGTTTCGGTCGGTTGGTCGGTTTTTTGTTTAACGCCGCACTCAGCAATATTCCAGCTATATGACGGCGGTCTGTAAATAATCGAGTCTGGACCAGACAATCCAGTGATTGATATCATGAGCATCAATACACGCAATTGGGATCGATGACATGCGAGCCTGACCACCCGATCCCGTTAGTTGCCTTTTACGACAAGTATAGTCACCTTTTACGGCAAGCATGGGTTGCTAAAGACCTATTCTACCCCGGAATCTTCCTTTCGGGCTTCGGGTCCTCTTTAAGCTGACATGTTTAGTAACTCAAATACTGTTCAAACTGATTTGAAACACTCACTCACTCACTCACTCATCGACGCTATACGCTCCTGGTTAAGAGTTCGATTCTGGACACGAATATGACCCTTGGTCTATCAGCGCCATTTAGCCGTGATCGATGGCTGCGCCTACGTGATAACCGTAGCCTTGTGGTTCAAGCGTTGGCACATCACGCCAACTATCCGAGTTCGATTCCTCTGAGCCCTGGTTAGCTTGATGCTATTTGTATGGGTAGAGGGTACAAAACGAAAGTCACTTTTGAATTATGAAAATCACAATGTAACAAAAAATAACGTTGTCACTGTTCCTTTTCCTTTGAGTATATGTTTGACAATATAAAAAATTAACATGTTGAATTGAATACCCCCAGACGGCTCGGCCAGTCCTTTACGACGCTCAACTAGTCAATCAATCGATAGCCGATATTGATCGCATCGATCTCAGCAGTATCGGTTCTCAGGCACTTAATAACTCGAAAGACGGTGAGGAGACGGAAGTGAACGCTGAATGTAAGTATCGAGAGAGTAAGTATTTTTGTACGTTTAAAACACTGTCACTCTGCGTGCTTCTTTCTCTTTTTCGTCTTTGTGTCCACAAACTGAATCTGATTTACGTTAAAGTAAAATAATATTTAAAGATTTTTTTCACTCAATTGCGATTGTACTGCAAAATCCCATATCACGCCAATCCCGAATCAAAACCTAGAGAAACCTGGGGAATCCATGACAGAACAAGTTACCCTCTGGGGAATTCATGACAGAACAGGTCACCCTCTGGGGAATCCATGACAGAACAGGGCACCTCTGGGGCATCTATGACAGAACAGGGCCACTCTGGGGAATCCATGACAACTCAGGGCACCAACTGGGAACTGATGACAGAGCAGGTCATCCTCTGGGGAATCCATGACAGAACAGGGCATACTCTGGGGAATTCATGACAGAACAGGTCACCAACTGGGGCATCTATGACAGAACAGGGCATACTCTGGGGAATCCATGACAGAACAGGGCACCTCTGGGGAATTAATGGTAGAATAGGGCACCTCATGGGAATTAATGGTAGAACAGGGCACTTCTGGGGAATTAATGGTAGAACAGGGCACTTCTGGGGAATTAATGGTAGAACAGGGCACTTCTGGGGAATTAATGGTAGAACAGGTCATCCTCTGGGGAATCCATGACAGAACAGGGCACCTCTGGGGCATCCATGACAGAACAGGGCACCTCTGGGGAATCCATTGTAGAACAGGGCACTTCTGGGGAATTAATGGTAGAACAGGGCACCTCTGAGGAATGCATGACAGAACAGGGCACCAACTGGGAACTGATGACAGAACAGGGCATCCTCTGGGGAATCCATGACAGAACAGAGCACCTCTGGGGAATTAATGGTAGAACAGGGCACCTCAGGGGAATTAATGGTAGAACAGGGCACTTCAGGGGAATTAATGGTAGAACAGGGCACTTCTGAGGAATTAATGGTAGAACAGGGCACCTCTGAGGAATCCATGACAGAACAGGGCACCTCTGGGGAATCCATGGTAGAACAGGGCACCTCTGAGGAATCCATGACAGAACAGGGCATCCTCTGGGGAATCCATGACAGAACAGGGCATCCTCTGGGGAATCCATGACAGAACAGGGCATCCTCTGGGGAATCCATGACAGAACAGGGCATCCTCTGGGGAATCCATGACAGAACAGGACATCCTCTGGGGAATCCATGACAGAACAGGGCATACTCTGGGGGAATCCATGACAGAACAGGGCATCCTCTGGGGAATCCATGACAGAACAGAGCACCTCAGGGGAATTAATGGTAGAACAGGGCACCTCAGGGGAATTAATGGTAGAAAAGGGCACTTCTGAGGAATTAATGGTAGAACAGGGCACTTCTGAGGAATTAATGGTAGAACAGGGCACTTCTGGGGAATTAATGGTAGAACAGGGCACCTCAGGGGAATTAATGGTAGAACAGGGCACTTCTGGGGAATTAATGGTAGAACAGGGCCCTTTTTGGGAATTAATGGTAGAACAGGGCACTTCTGGGGAATTAATGGTAGAACAGGGCACCTCTGAGGAATCCATGACAGAACAGGGCACCAACTGGGAACTGATGACAGAGCACGTCATCCTCTGGGGAATGCATGACAGAACAGGGCATCCTCTGGGGAATCCATGACAGAACAGAGCACCTCAGGGGAATTAATGGTAGAAACAGGGCACCTCAGGGGAATTAATGGTAGAACAGGGCACTTCTGGGGAATTAATGGTAGAACAGGGCACTTCTGGGGAATAAATGGTAGAACAGGGCACTTCTGGGGAATCAATGACAGAACAGGGCACCCTCTGTGGAATTCATGACAGAACAGGGCACTTCTGGGGAATTCATGACAGAACAGGGCACCCTCTGTGGAATCCATGACAGAACAGGGCACCTCTGGGGCATCCATGACAGAACAGGGCACCTCTGGGGAATTGATGACAGAACGTGGCACCTTCTTTGGAATCCATGACAGAACAGGGCACCCACTGGGGAATCTATGACAGAACAGGGCACCTCTAGGGAATCCATGACAGAACAGGGCACCTCTTGGGCATCTATGACAGAACAGGGCACCTCTGGGGAATCCATGACAGAACAGGGCACCCTCTGGGGAATTGATGACAGAACAGGGCACCCTCTGGGGAATTGATGACAGAACAGGGCACCTCTGGGGGAATTGATGACAGAACAGGGAACCTCTGGGGAATTGATGACATAACAGAGCACCCTCTGGGGAATTGATGACAGAACAGGGCACCTCTGGGGCATCTATGACAGAACAGGGCACCTCTGGGGAATTGATGACAGAACAGGGCACCCTCTGGGGAATTGATGACAGAACAGGGCACCCTCTGGGGAATTGATGACAGAACAGGGCACCTCTGGGGGAATTGATGACAGAACAGAGCACCTCTGGGGAATTGATGACAGAACAGAGCACCTTCTGGGGAATTGATGACAGAACAGGGCACCTCTGGGGAATCCATGACAGAACAGGGCACCTCTGGGGAATTCATCACAGAACAGGGCACCTTCTTTGGAATCCATGACAGAACACGGCACCTCTGGGGCATCTATGACAGAACAGGGCACCTCTGGGGAATCCATGACAGAACTGGGCACCCGCTGGGGAATCAATGACAGAACAGGGCACCTCTGGGGAATCAATGACACAACACGGCACCTTTGGGGCATCTTTGACAGAACAGGGCACCCTCTGGGGAATCCATGACAGAACAGGGCACCTCTGGGGAATTCATGACAGAACAGGGCACCTTCTTTGGAATCCATGACAGAGCAGGGCACCTCTGGGGCATCTATGACAGAACAGGGCACCTCTGGGGAATCCATGACAGAACTGGGCACCCGCTGGGGAATCCATGACAGAACAGGGCACCTCTGGGGAATTTATGACAGAACAGGGCACCTCTGGGGCACTTATGACAGAACTGGGCACCTCTGGGGAATTCATGACAGAACAGGGCACCCTCTGAGGAATTGATGACAGAACAGGGCACCTCTGGGGAATTGATGACAGAACAGGGCACCTCTGGGGAATTGATGACAGAACAGAGCACCCTTTGGGGAATTGATGACAGAACAGGGCACCTCTGGGGCATCTATGACAGAACAGATCCCCAACTGGGGAATCCATGACAGAACAGGGCACTTCTGGGGAATTCATGACAGAACAGGGCACCCTCTGTGGAATCCATGACAGAACAGGGCACCTCTGGGGCATCCATGACAGAACAGGGCACCTCTGGGGAATTGATGACAGAACGTGGCACCTTCTTTGGAATCCATGACAGAACAGGGCACCCACTGGGGAATCTATGACAGAACAGGGCACCTCTAGGGAATCCATGACAGAACAGGGCACCTCTTGGGCATCTATGACAGAACAGGGCACCTCTGGGGAATCCATGACAGAACAGGGCACCCTCTGGGGAATTGATGACAGAACAGGGCACCCTCTGGGGAATTGATGACAGAACAGGGCACCTCTGGGGGAATTGATGACAGAACAGGGAACCTCTGGGGAATTGATGACATAACAGAGCACCCTCTGGGGAATTGATGACAGAACAGGGCACCTCTGGGGCATCTATGACAGAACAGGGCACCTCTGGGGAATTGATGACAGAACAGGGCACCCTCTGGGGAATTGATGACAGAACAGGGCACCCTCTGGGGAATTGATGACAGAACAGGGCACCTCTGGGGGAATTGATGACAGAACAGAGCACCTCTGGGGAATTGATGACAGAACAGAGCACCTTCTGGGGAATTGATGACAGAACAGGGCACCTCTGGGGAATCCATGACAGAACAGGGCACCTCTGGGGAATTCATCACAGAACAGGGCACCTTCTTTGGAATCCATGACAGAACACGGCACCTCTGGGGCATCTATGACAGAACAGGGCACCTCTGGGGAATCCATGACAGAACTGGGCACCCGCTGGGGAATCAATGACAGAACAGGGCACCTCTGGGGAATCAATGACACAACACGGCACCTTTGGGGCATCTTTGACAGAACAGGGCACCCTCTGGGGAATCCATGACAGAACAGGGCACCTCTGGGGAATTCATGACAGAACAGGGCACCTTCTTTGGAATCCATGACAGAGCAGGGCACCTCTGGGGCATCTATGACAGAACAGGGCACCTCTGGGGAATCCATGACAGAACTGGGCACCCGCTGGGGAATCCATGACAGAACAGGGCACCTCTGGGGAATTTATGACAGAACAGGGCACCTCTGGGGCACTTATGACAGAACTGGGCACCTCTGGGGAATTCATGACAGAACAGGGCACCCTCTGAGGAATTGATGACAGAACAGGGCACCTCTGGGGAATTGATGACAGAACAGGGCACCTCTGGGGAATTGATGACAGAACAGAGCACCCTTTGGGGAATTGATGACAGAACAGGGCACCTCTGGGGCATCTATGACAGAACAGATCCCCAACTGGGGAATCCATGACAGAACAGGGCACCTCTGGGGAATCCATGACAGAACACGGCACCTCTGGGGCATCTATGACAGAACAGGGCACCTCTGGGGAATCCATGACAGAACTGGGCACCCGCTGGGGAATCCATGACAGAACAGGGCACCTCTGGGGAATCCATGACAAAACACGGCACCTCTGAGACTTCTATGACAGAACAGGGCACCTCTGGGGAATCTATGACAGAACAGGGCACCTCTGGGGCATCTATGACAGAGAAGGGCACCTCTGGGGAATTCATGACAGAACGGGGCACCTCTGGGGAATTGATGACAGAACAGCTAGGGCACCTCTGGGGAATTGATGACAGAACAGAGCACCCTCTGGGGAATTCATGATAGAACGGGTCACCCTCTGGGGAATTGATGACAGAACAGCTGGGGCACCTCTGGGGAATGCAATACAGAACAGAGCACCCTCTGGGGAATTGATGACAGAACAGGGCACCTCTG